GCCAAGGACTAGTTTCTCAGTCTTTTCTGCCGTTTCATCCTTTTGAGCTAGCTCTGTCAGAAAATCAATCCCAAGGAGGTGATCCAAGCTGAACTTGGACTCAGACCTGGTCATCCTCAGCCTCAACTGACATATCCAGTGAAGGGGAGGATCATGGGAATTATCTGGGTCTCAGAGGTCCCAGATCTCAGAGCCTAAAATCACAGGTCCTGATTGGAGGTGGAAAGAACACTTCCTCTGTAGACTAAGGGACTGGATTCAAATCCTTCCTGCCATTTACTACCAGTATGACCTTGGGCCTTTCCTGGCCCTCTGTTTTCTCCCCGGCAAAGTGAGGGCACTGGGCTGGATGAGCTCTGTTTTCTCTTCCAGTTTCAGATCTGTGATTCTATGACCAATAACAAGTCAGATGGGCAGCTAGAACTCAGGGCCTGCAGTTAGGAAGACCTGAGTTCAAATCTAGTCTCAGATGCTTACAAGCCATGTGACACCGGGCAACTTACTTCATGTCTGACAGTTTCCTCAACTTTAAATCAGGAATAAGAGTAGTATCTACCCTCCCAGGGATGTTGTGAGGCTCAAATGAGATATTTGTGAAGTGCCTTGAACACAGTAGGCACTTAATAAATGCTTATTCCTTTCCCCTTCCAGCACTAAATCTGTGATCTATAACTTCTGCTTTAAAGGCCATGATCAACCAACAAGCATTTATTAACATTCTTGCAAACCCCAATATTATGTTCTAGGTGTGGGAGATAAAAACAACAATGATTCCTGCCCTATAGGAACTTACATTCTATGGGGGAGGGGTATATGTACATACAGGAGAATATATAAAATACATCTGTGGTAATTTGGGAGGTAGAGACACATACCTGGTGGGAGATGGGGTGGAGGGGAAGAATCGTTGTTCAATCTAGTCTGAACCTTTGTGACCCCATTTGGAATTTCTTGGCAAAGATATTGGAGTGGTTTGTCATTTCCTCTTCCAGCTTATTTTTACAGATGAGGAAACTGAGGCAAACAGGGTTAAGTGACTTGTCCAGGGTCACACAGCTAATAAGAGGCCAAATTTGAACTCAGGTCTTCCTGACACTCTATCCACTGGTCCTCTTAGAAGCTGGGGCAGAATTAGGAAAGGCTTAACATAGGAGGCATCCAAGGATTTGAAGAGGCAGGGGTGAACAGGCCTGGATTTTCTTTTCTTTTTTCTTTTTTTTAAAAATTTTTAATTAATTTATTTTGAGTTATCAACAATAACTTCCATAAACTTTTGAGTTTTAAATTTTTCTCCCCCTCCCTCCCCTGGATTTTATTTTCAAAACAAATCAGGATTAAGTCTAGCTGGTGGAGGAGGCATTTGGTTACCTTTTGAAAAATTAATAATAACAATTCATATTCAGGCAGTGCTTTAAGGTTTCTAAATCCCTTCTCTGGCAACAACACTATGAGATGAGGATGGGGGAGGGAAAGCAAAAGACTATAATTCCCATTTCACAGAGTAGGAAACAGAGGTTCAGAGAAGTAATCCTATTTTTTCATGAGGACATTTGAGTATTCCAGGGAATTTCTTTCACGATCGTCCTTTAATTCAATATCAGTTCAATAAACATTCATTATTCACTTACTATGTGCCAGGCACTGTGAGAGGTTCTGGGTATATAAAGACCAAACTAAAATGGTTTTAGAAATTCAGTTTGTTATATTTAAAATCTGGTAGGGTCCTAGTACAAAGACCCCACCCTTTTATAGTTGAATTTTATTTACTTCCCCCAAGTTAATCCCCCACAATTATACTGCTCTGGCACCAGACTTACATTTTTATCTGCTTTTCTTCTCCTCCTGAGGAAATCCCCATGGAAAGGCAACTGAATTCAGCTGAGGAATTTTGCAAACTCACTCGTCTTCTTCAGAATTGTTCCTGATAAAGCTTAGCAGATGGGCCCATTCTGACATTGCTCTCTGTGTGTGTTTTCTTTCTAAAATCCCATGCAGCTAGCTCAGCAGTCATGCCCACACTAGGGTCAGTTGACATGTTGATGATGTCAGCTGAGATAATGCAGGTGGTTAGTCCTGAGGTCCTAGGGAATGGAGGCCTCAGAGCTGCATGATTTGAGTCCCGAGTTTTTTTGAGCAATGCCAAGACATTATGAGGATATAAACAATATTACAGCAATGGGAGAAATAAGAGAATGAGCGAGAGAGAGAGGGAGAGAGAGAGAGAGAGAGAGAGAGACAGACAGACAGACAGACAGACAGACAAACTGCTGACCAGAATTTTTATTAGTGTTAATCTTGGGTTGGATTGAAAATTTAAAAATAAAACCTAATGTAATTTCAAAGGCAATAGGCAAAATATCTTTTAAAAAAATACTAGTGGTTAAATTTGGCTTTTCAGAAGAGTTTTCTCTTCTATTTTCAGCTGATTTGGTGAAAGTTCTCAAGAGCCCATTTAATGAAAGTTCATAGCATCTGTCAGTTTGTACAGCCCCAGAAGGCAGGGCCTTGTCTTATTTCTCATGATGTCCCCACTAAGTCCTTGCACGGGGCCTTGCACATGCAGAATAGACAACACATATTTGTTGAACTGAGTTGACTTGACTTTCTCTGGTATATTTCACAATCAGGGCACCTTACAATTATGGTTCCTCATTCATTCAATCTACGTATCCCGGTATGGAGGAGTAGATGTTTTTGATTCACATCTACAAGGTAGTCAATGGAAGACTGGGGGGTTGGGAGGTGGGGTGGAATATAGACAGATGATAGAGAATTGCACTGAAAATCAGTATCAATTGGGGATCAGGCTGCGGGGCTGCCACTGCCATATGTACCATGGAAGAGGTTGGGTGTCTCAGGAACAAAGCACCTCTCTCTGCACCTCATTATCTTGCTCTGTAAAATAAAGATGATCATGCTTAGAATTACTGGATCATAGACGCATAGTTGGAAGGAACTAAGGTGCCGTCCAGTCCAAAGCTATTATTTTACAAATGGGGAAGCTCTGGCCTTGAGAAGTTAAGGTGCATGGTCAGGAAGGACTTCACCCAAACCCTTCTGGATTCACGTCCATCCCTTTTCCTACATGGCCTCTCACAATCACTGGCGAATTGATGGTACCAATTTTTTCCTTGTCCAGTACGGACAACAGTTTTTTCTATTTCAACCATTTTAGAATTATATCCCTGGCCAAATCTGAGCAGTTCCCCAATATGGTAAAAGCACCAGGGCCAGAGTGAATGTGGGCTGTACACTGTGTGGTTGAAAATAGCCAGGAGAGATTCAGAAGTCCCAAGTTTCTTTAAGCAAGAGACAGACATCATGGTGGGGTATGTCTCCATGTCCACAACTCTTACCACAGGGCCTGGAATATTCCTAAATACTTGAGGAATTGGGTCTCCAATTTATCTCCCACATCTAGTTTCCTTTGAATATTTGGCTAAAGTTTCCAGGTGTCACTTGAACTGGTATATTTTGTTCTCCTGAGGTCCAGTCCAATACAATCTGATCTAATTTATTAATTCAACAAATATTTATTGCATTCCTATTATGTACAAAGCACCATAATAAGCATTAGGGATACCAAACAACTGAAAAAAAAAACAATTATAGTTCTACTTGGGGAGAGGTGATGAATTGGATGAATGAAAAAAAAAATTAAGCACTTCCTGTGTTCCAAGCACCCCAAGCTAAGAGGTATGACTTGTAGACATATAAGTGGATATATAATACTTTGAGGATGATGGAGAGGGTACTAAGTGGGTCAGGAAACTCCTTTCAGGTTAGCAGATGGCACTGGAGTTGAGCCTTGAAAGAAGCTAAGGATTCTAAGAGGGTGAGGTGTGCTGAATTTCTGGAATGGAGATCTGGAGGTAGCCATTTGCAAAGGCTTATGGGTGGGAATGCCAAGTTCAGGGCAAAACAAACAGGCTGGTTTGGTTGGGACGTAGTGTTCAAGGAGGGGAAGAATTGGAATGAGTCTAGAAAGGTTCTTCAGTCAGTTTTTCCTAATTTTCGTACTATCTCTGGGTCCCAACTCCTTCCTCATCTCGAATACTTGAACGAACTAAATGCCCTGGCTTAAGAGACCTCTGAGTTTCTTTCTACATTTGTGAATAAGGCTTTACACTCATACTTTCAGCTCTATATTATTTTCTTTGTGAACTAACCATAACAAAGTCTGACCCTGCACCAACAATGTCTTGTAGAGAGTGGACGCTTGATAAAAATGTTTGTTAAATTGAGGAGGAAATGAACTTTGACGTCCAGCATATTTCTGTCCACACCCTGCCACAGCCAAGGTGGCCTGGGCTCCCTTCCTGCAAATTGCTTTTGTTTGTTTGTTTATTTGTTTGTTGTATTAACCTAAACTAACTCCAGTTAGAAAGGGGCTGTCTGTCACTCTGGAAATGTGTATAAAGCATTCTAAAGCTAAACTGATTTGGATTATCCATACCACTGGCACCCTCTGTTAGCACTGATCCTTCCTTCCTCCCCCCTTCCTTCCTTCCTTCCTTCCTTCCTTCCTTCCTTCCTTCCTTCCTGTCTTCCTCTCTCTTCCTCTCTCTGTCCTTCCTTTCCTCCTTTCTAGTATCTACTATGTGCCCAGTTTTGTAGGAGGCTCTGTGGGAGTAAATACAGAATTATAACGCCATCCTCCCCTTCTAGGAGTTCCCAGTCTCCTTATAAAGCCCCAGATTCAGAGAACGTCAGAGCCAGAGGCTCCGGTTCAGTACCAGAAGAGACAAATGCAGGCAAGGGGAGCGAGTGACTCGCCCACTGTCACTTAGGCTTATGCCGGAGTCAGGACTAGACCCCCGGGCTCTTGCCTCCCAAGAGGGGTGCATCCCTCTTGGCTCTGCCCCGGAGGCCCCGGGACTGTTGGTTATCTAATCAGGATGGGGGTGAGTGGGAGGGCGTCTAGGGGACCGCTCTGGGGAGGCCGGCCCGCATTGTGTGGACTTGAACCACTTTTGTTTCCTCCCCCTCACTCCCTGCAGCCGGTGCTGTGAGAAGAAGAGCTGCGGGAACCGCAATGAGACGCCCTCAGACCCGGTCATCATCGACAGGTAGGGAAGGTGTCTCTCCCGTGGGTTTCCCCGCTCTTCGTGAAGTTCAAGGTTGGCTCTCTATCCCCTGACACTGCGTCGTTGGGTCGGTGCCGAGAGGCCTGCAGGGGCCTGAAAAAGTGGGCGGCGGCTGCCGTCATCCCGGCTGGACGGTCCTTGGCTCCCCGTCCCTGCGTGCCCATTTCAGTGCCGGTGACATGGGTGGAGAGTCAATGGCGGACATCGCTCCCAACTTACGGGGCCTGGATCCAGCCGCCTCCTAGAAGGGGTACACCTTCAGGGGTTAGCTGTTGCCTTCCTCAGTGAGTTTGAGGGTTGTGGTTGGGCTCTGAGAGGATCCAGGCCAAACTGATTTTGAGGTTTGGGGGGAGGGGAACAGACTCCTTTCTCCATGGAATCTGGTCTTCTGTTTTCTCTTGGGATGCAGAGCTGAGCGAAGGCTGCTTTCTGTGCTGTGTTCTAATGGGGAAAGATTCTGTCTGGCCAAGGCTTGGAGGACAACTTGCCATCTTTTGTAACATGGGAAATAGAGCTAAGGAAACCAGCAAAGACAAACAAAATCATCCTTCTGAGACTGTAAAAGCCTGAGGAAAACCCATTTCCTGTGCCCCATCGCCCAGTCCTTTTTCATTCTTTAGATCAGAAATTCTCAGCCTTTGCAAGACATAGGACCCCTCAACAAAACTCCCCCACATTTCACATGAGAGTTGTGTTACTGTTAGCATATTGATTGAGTTGATAAAAAGGAAATATGAATTCAGTAACACCTAGGAATGAATTTGTATTTTAAGCACTACGTGAGAGGCAGCTTGGTATAATAGAGAGCTAGACTGGGAAACAGGAAGACCTGGGTTCAAGTCCTGCCTCTGAAATATACTAGCTGTGTGCCCCTGGGCAAATCACTTAGCTTCTCATTGCCACAAAAGCAACTCTCTAAGACTAAAAGTTGCAGAACAAACCAGTTTCCTAAACCAGTGAAATCTCAGATCCAGTCCCCATCCCTCTTAAACACAGCAGCTCTATATACTTTTAGAAAACAGTCACACATAATATTCTAATACTAATACTGAAAGTTATAGCAGAGTTACTGATTTGCATCTGTGGAGGGAGTTTCCTACATAAGGACTTCCCCGTATCAGTGCAAACAAGTCAGCCTTACCACAGTAATGAATGAGACACATGCAGTCTAGAGAAGGTTGGTTGGCTAATTGAATATGGCCTTGCTTCATTTTCATGAAATGTACCCCTTGCAGTAAATCCAGGCTTTGTCGGGTCCAAGGGTTGAGTTTCACTGCTGTCAGCTGTTAACCTCAATCCTCGGCTACTGCATTTGGAGGGGTTTACCTTGAAGAGAAGGCTTTGAGAGACAGGACTGCTATTCAGAGGCATTTGAAGGCCTGTCAGTCATATGGAGGAGGGATCAGGCATGTTCAGTTTGGCCCCAGAGGGCACAGCTAGGAAACACAGAGGGGAGCTGCAAAGAGACAAGTTAGGCTCATTATCCAGAAAAAACTTTGGACCAAGTCGAGCTGTCCAAGAGCGGAAAAGGCTTCCCCGAGAGCAAGTGGAATCTGCCCTGGAGTGCTGTGAGTGGAGGCTAGATCATGGGCTGGGTGTGTTAGAGTGGGGATACCTTTTCCATATGGGTTGGACACTTGACGGCTGCCAAGGTCCCTTGCAGTTCTCTAAGATTCAGCAGTTGGGTTTCCAGTCTGGCCCAGCAGTGGAATCTTGAGATCACAGTTAGTGTGGACCTTGTTTAGACTAAAGGGAGATCACCCTTCACTCTGCTGAGTTCTGGACCTAAAATCCTAACCCTGGTTCTCTTCCCAGTTTCATTGTGGACACTACAGCATAGGAAGAGGAAGCTGGAGACAAGATTCCTGAGCCTACCTTGGCTCCTGCCTTGGTCTGGTGCCCTTAAGCAGGTCACTTGGAGGTCACTTCCTCAATTACCCTCCTTGAATCCCAGTGGGAGAGGCATGCTTGTCAGCTCTAGATACTGTCTAGACCAGGGGTGGGGAACCTTTGGCCTCAAGGCCATATGAGGCCCTCTAGGTCCTTAAGTATGGCCCTCTGACTGAATCCAAACTCCATAGAACAAATCACCTTAATAAAAGGATGTGTTCTGTAAAACTTGGACTCAGTCAAAAGGCTGCATCCAAGGACCTAGGAGGCCACATATGACCTTGAGGCCGCAGGTTTCCCCCTGGCTTGGACCTTGTCCCCAAGCAGAAGGTCAAGAGCTCTAATATTTCCCATCCTGAGTTGGAATCCTGTAGACATTGAAAGACCACCAGCCAGGCAAATTAGAAAGGGGGCTACTGCATGGACTAAGAGATGACCTCTGAGGTCCCTTCCATTCTGAGCCTCTGTGATTTGGAGATCTCAGGAACTTCCTGGAGCGAGGATCATCATAGGCCCAGAGACTCCTGGGAAAAGAGAGTGGGACAATGCAGGGTGTCTTTCTAAGATGTATGGTTATTTATAGTTTGAAGACTAGGAGATTTTGGCCTTGAAGGACCTCAGAGGGTTATTACATATTACACACGGGCAGAATCAACAAAACAAATTCTTCTATTGGCCATGTCCAGAAAGCTATGTTTTTATCTTCTCTTTGAGTCTACTCCATCTCTGTCAGAAAGTGGAAGGCCTATTTCTTCCCTCATTTTATTTAACATATTTTTATGGATTCTTTTTTTTTTTCTTAACAGTGGAATCATTTTCCAGTACATCTGTCTCCCTGCTCCCTCCATGAAACTTTCCTTATAACCTGAAGCCAACAACCAATGCAGAGACCAAATCTGACAGTTTAGACAACTTTCCTCACTAGGTTTCAGAATGCTGTGTCTCTCTGCCTAGGGGAGAGAGATATGTTTCGTCATCTCTTCCGCACTGAGATTGGTCCTTACAATTAATCAGGGTTGTTTTTGTGTACATCATTACGACCATCATGTTTATTGTTCCACAGGTTCTGATGATTTCACTCTGCATTGGTTTGTCAAGCCCACCCAGATTATTCCTTATACTCATTATTTTTTCTTAAAAATACCTATTATCACTCTTTTGTTTTTACATCACCTACATTTCTCAATATACTGCACCCACCCAACCCCTACCACCTTCTGCTTGTAGAGAGCTATTCTTTATTGGATAGAGACTGGGGTAGGGTGGACCTGTGATTTCTTTGACATACCCAGATGAGGAAACTTTCTTTACCAATAACATATTATCTGAAATTTATAGTCTTTAGAAAGTAACTCAGAGTTCTTGGAAATGAAATAACATGGCTAGGCATGTATTAGATATAGAACTTGAAACCAGGTCTTTGAGGCTGGTTATCTATTCACTAGGCCATGCTGTCTCTCATCACTTATAATAAGGAATATAGAAAGAATATAAACAGTTCAGGAAAAAAAACCTAACCAACAGATCCCAAAATTCTGACATTATATATACCATTCCATGCCCATAGTTCCCCAGCTCTGCAAAAAGTTAGGGAGGTGCCTTCCCATCTCTCTTCTTTGGGGCCAAGCTTGGTTATTATAATTTCATGGAGGTTTCCATTGCTTTGTTGTGGTAGTTCTTTCCACTTGTATTATAGTCATTGTATATATTGTTTTCCTACTTATATTTACTTTACTTTGCATCAGTTCGTAGAAATCTTCTTATACTTCTCTGCATTCATCATTTCTTAGGGATCAGTCCTATTCCATTACATTCATGTAGCATAATTTGTTTTTTTAAATCCAGTTTTCTTTTGTTTTCAGTTCCAAATTTTCTCCTGCCTTTTTATCCTCCCCCACTCATTGAGAAGGGAAGAAAAATAAAACCCATTACAAATATGTACAGACATGCAACACAAATTTCTTCACTAGCCATATTCCAAGAAAAAAAAGAAAGAAAATAGGAGAAAATGTGCTTCAATCTGCTTTCTGAGTTCATTAGTTCTCTGTCTGAAGGTAGATAGCATGTTTCATTGTGAGTCATTTGGAGTTATGGTTGGTTATTGTGTTGGTCAGAGCAGCTAACTCTTTCTTTACAATACTGCTGAGTGTATGAATTGTTCTTCTGATTCTTCTCACTTCATTTTGTGTAGCATAATTTCAATTAAATAAAATTTCAATTTAAGCAACATAAATATCATCATACCCCAATTCAAATGTACCTACTTTGTTTCTAGGTTTGTTTTTTTTTTGCTGTCCCCCAAATATTGCTGTAAATGTTTTTGTGTCCATGGAACTCTCCTTTCTGGCTTTGATTTCTCTGAGGACTGTGCCTGATGGTATAGTCCTTGGGTTAAATGGTATGGATAGTTCATTGACTTCTCAAAGACTTCTAAATTATTCCATGAACTGGTTGGGCAAGTTTATAGCTCCACCAACAGGGTATTAGTGTGCCTGCTTTTCCACAGTCCCTCCATCATTGACTGGTTCTGTCTTTGTTTATCTCTGACATGTTGATAGAACCCCCTCCCTTTAAAGAGGAAGAAACTGAATCTAGAAGAGCCTTATCAACTCAGTCAAGGTTAGAAAATTTGTTAGTAGATGAACCAGTACTGGACCCCAGACCTCTTCACCTCTAAACTGGTGCTTTTCTCATTTCACTTCCCTGCCTTTCTTAGCATTTTCCTTATCTCAAACAGAAAGCAAATGTTAGTGAGACCTGGAATGAGATGTCTGTCTACTTTCTCCCTTCTTCTTAGGATGGACAGAGGGCAGTTTCCTAAAAATTGGGCTGCATTCACTGGCATAATGAGGACACTGGATTTCAAGACAGGGATAGGGGCTCAGATACCATATCCATACTTGTGGATATTGGACAGGTCACATAACATCTTTATGCCTCAGTTTCCCCCTTGATAAAATGGAGGGAGGTTGGGCTAGATGACCCACAAGGTCTTTTCTAGTTCTGTACATCATATATAGGGGCAGCCTAGGTGTAGTTCTGTAGCTCTGGTCATCACTGCTTTGTGAGAACTGGAAATCTTAGTCTCCCTCTGAG